AACACCTGGAGTCAGTGTCTCTTTTTAGTAATAGAAAAGTTTATTGCGAATTCCTGCCAAAGGCTAATTGCAAGTGACATAAACAAAAGAACATTGAAACAGAGTAAAGAATAACTTCAAAATCTACATAATAAAATGTAATACATCTTAGGAAACTATAGCTATGTCTAAAACTATGTCTGAAGGGTTTGACTTCTCTTTTGTAGACCACGGAAGATGTAATGTCGCACTTTAGTAATAGTATAGACAATTAAGCCATGCACGTGCAAGTTTAAACTGTCTCAGTGAAACTGCGAATGGCTCATTAAATCAGTTATGGTTCCTTTGATCGTCACATCCTACATGGATAACTGTGGTAATTCTAGAGCTAATACATGCGGAAGAAGCGCCGACCTCACGGTCTGGCGTGCATTTATCAGACCAAGACCAACCCGGGGTTCGCCCCGGTCTCTTTGGTGACTCTGGATAACCCACCGGCGACAGATCATTCGAATGTCAACTTTCCGGTTATGTATATAAAAGACAAATAGATTTTATATACACACCGGGTGTGTATATAAAAGACAAATAGATTTTATATACACACCGGGTGTGTATATAAAAGACAAATAGATTTTATATACACACCGGGTGTGTATATAGCCACGTTATCGAATTACCTGTATAATGTCCTTGGTTTTACTTGACTTACTGTACATGCAATTAGCATTTGAGTATGATTTTCCAACTTAATATTACCATCTATCATTCTATGTTTGATATCTCTTGTTACCAACAGGGTGTGAAATGTGGTGACCACCCCCAAAACTGGAGTGAGTATGACCCAGAACATCCCAGGCACCTGATTCCTGCACTACTGCGACAGTTCTATGACCTGGGCTGGGTCACTGGAACTGGAGGGGGGATCAGCATTAAGCTTGGGTGAATAAACTTTTTTTCATGTAACATCTCTCTTCTGCATAACAAAAGTAACCAGTACTGATATATTGTAGGCAGATGAATTTCTAAAGACAACTGTAGAGTATTCTTGTAGCCATCTCACCAAGGGCTTTTCTTACAGAGATGAAATCTACATCGCCCCTTCAGGGGTCCAGAAGGAACGCATACAGGTTATACTTCATTTCCTTTTGTGTATTTATTTTTGTGCTTAACAATGCTCATTTTCTGTGATTCTTGAAAAGTTGTTGACATTTCACATGTCACTGTAACACATTTAATTGTTCCCTTTTTTGCCTGTCTCTATGCATGTGAAATATCATTAAAAATGTGGTTTCCTTCCCTTAAGCCTGAAGACTTGTTTGTATCTACTATGGAGGAAGAGGACATCTTTTGCCCTCCCCCGAGCAAGAAACTGAAGAAGAGCCAGTGTACTCCTCTGTTTATGAATGCCTATACCATGAGAGGTAGTCAAAAGTTCCTGTTCTTTGATCTATTGTAAACCTTAAAAATAGTTAGTACTGCAGCTTCAAGTCTATTTGGCACCATCTAGATGAGATCATCATTATTGCAGGTGCAGGAGCAGTCATTCACACCCACTCCAAGGCTGCTGTCATGGTAACGCTGTTGAACCCTGGGAAGGAGTTCCGTATCACCCATCAGGAGATGATCAAGGGCATTAGAAGGGCAAAGTCTGGTGGGAACTACAGGTCAGCATGTCATCTGGTCAAGTCCAAATGTTAATCTATTCTAATGACGAAGGTGTTTACAGTTGGTAGCAATAATGACTGTTTGAAACAATTTTTAAACATTGATGCCGTTTTCCTTGTACATCTTCTACAGTACAGTACTTGTGATATTCCTCATCCTCAGGTACTTTGATGAGTTGGTGGTACCCATAGTGGAGAACACACCTGAAGAGAGGGATCTCAAGGTGAGGGAACAGTGTAAGATGGTAGCAACTTTACCACAGACCGTTAGTGCAACCAAACTGTGGATACAGTTAATGAGGTACAAGATTGCTGCTGCCAGTCCTGAGCACAATGCAGCAGTCATCTTCTACAGCTGAAGTAAGCTTCAGATGGCAAAGTACAGAATACAATGATTCTTTGTTGTGCTGATTTAATATGATCATTGAAGTATGATCAGATGGGTACTCCAGTCTTCACATTGTTCCACCCTGACAGGAACGAATGGCACGTGCCATGGAGGAATACCCAGAATCCTGTGCAGTGCTGGTGCGGAGACACGGGGTGTATGTGTGGGGAGACACATGGGAGAAGGCAAAGAGCATGTTAGTACAGAAATATCCCTTCCTAGGCAGTCATTGAATACTGAATATTTCTCACAACTTAATTGGTCTGCAGACAGCTGTATGTGACTCATTCTGCAGTATTGCTTGATGAAGGCCAAATGAAAATACTGTCGATCTGGAAATGCTCAGGGTGGTTTTAGCTCTGGTTTTTGCGGCAATCTTTCTACTGCAAATTTATAACATTTTTAATATGCAATTCCAATGTATTACTTCTACATAAGTGTTTTAACCACAAGCAACACTGTGAAAAAACTACTTCCCCTTCTACCATGAAATTAAGTTCTCACCGAGATAAATGAATTATTAAATTTATGACAGCAAGTAACTATTAGCTTTATATAAGATGAAGTGGAGAGACACATGTTTGACGAAGTAGTTCTTATTTTCTGACAAAAAAGGCACCAAAACAATAAAATTTTGCTGACCAGCAAGCATGTATGTAGAGCACACATCAAATATTTCCACTGAGAGTTGACTTATGTTTCATGCCTTTCCCCAGGTGTGAATGTTATGACTACCTGTTTGACGTTGCTGTACAGATGAGGCAGTTAGGACTGGACCCTGCCCAGAAACCTGACCCAGCTGTGGAGAAAGGCATTGTTTGAACCACTGGAGGAAGTGCAACTTGCCACTTACTTTGGCAACCTAATTACTGTGGAAGTTAAAGAAAAGTATCGTGCCTCATATGAATCCAAAAATATTTTGCAACCAAACATTTGTTGGACAATGGAGCAAAATTTGATAGCAGGTAGAATTCCTCACAGTGAACATGGTTTTGCAATAATGATTAGTACATAATGTGTACCATTTGTGAGCACATAGGTAGCCTGAAAGCTCATCTGTGTTGATATATTCCATGATGAAATATAATACTTTTGTTCAACACAAGCAATAGCTCACCTTGAATTTTTGGTCAATCCCAAAGGTTGAGGTAAGAGCGACCAAATATTTGAGTTGAGCCACCATTGCTTGTGTACAATGTAGGTATCAAATTTCATCATTGAATCATTCAACTGCCTACAAGATGAGCTGTATCTTTTTGTCATAAGCTGTGGCATAGTAGATAGGTTGAAATATTGCAGAAATTATTTTATCTTTGGATGAAATCTGTTGCCAACAAGGATCACAGTTGTATGATGACATACATGTGCCAAGGTTTGAATGTGCAAGACGAAGACTTTCATCAGATCATGGATTTTTGCCTCCATGATCAGATCCATGAAAAATTTCTATTAAAAAAAGTTTAAACCAGTGAATAATGGGTTATCTCTCCTGCCCTCATCCTTACAAGTTTGCTTCATATATGTGTCAAGGTTTGAAGGTAAACATTATGCATTTGCTTTGCAAATGTTACCTTTCTAGTTAGGCCATGTTGATTTGATTATATGGATGACATCCGCGCGCGCATGAATTTTCGGCCGTTTCCAAAAAAAAAAAGTTTTCAACCATACTGTAAATCGTACAAAACAGCTGCAAAATGAGCAAAAATTTACCATAAGTTACAAAAAAAATTAATAAAAACTACATTTGTATACCAATGTCGTAGAATGCCAAAATCAAACGAAAAAAGACGAAATTGTAAAGAAATGAACTTGAAGACTAGATTATTCGCCAAACCATATTCTGTGCCATTTGCTCAACCCTCATGACCACGTAGATTTCATAATGAAAAGAACTTTTTTTTTGCAAAACTTTTTTTTATTCGCACGCGCACATCAGTTTTGGGGCTCCCGGAGGATGTCATCCATATAATCAAATCAACATGGCCTTAGTGAGTAAATTGGTTGAAATATCTTTTAATGAATTCCCCACACACGATCCAAGAAAGTCTAAGACATTTATAATATACACGCTTATTTATAATTCATATTACCCATATCGCATCTTCCCATGTTTTTTTAACAAAAAACACAAACCCCCTGTATAAAATGGTATCATCCTCGCTAGGTCAAAGGTGATGGCGGAGACAGGAACGGGTAAGCGGTGAATCTTCCTGTAGACGTAATGGTTCAAACATACGTGTAATTCTTTAATGGTAGCAGCCTGTTAAGTTGGCTCGTAGGTTGAACGACGTGCGTTTAAATTTAACTGGTTGTCTGAGCTACACATAAGCTGCCATGTCGGAATACAGTTCGTGTCAGGCCACATGTACATGTTTGGTCAGAAGACATGTCGGGATCATGAAGGTTTAGAGGATTTTCCGGTTTAAGGCGTTGATGGTCAACATATATTCTCTCTAAAACATTTTCTATCAGGCCTGGAGTGTATTGTGAAGTTGGGTGGGAGTGCAGTTACTGACAAGAACACACTTGAAACACCTCGGCTGGACGCTATCAGGGCTGCTGCAGATATCATCTCACAAGTTAGAGGGCGCTACATCGTCGTCCATGGAGCTGGGTTAGCCTGATGTTACTTATGTCATTTTGGTGACGTAATCAATATGATTTCTTTGGACTGCGAAGAATTTATGAATGAACACTTCTCACACAGACTATATTATGGACTGTTTGAAGTCCTTCATGTCTCTTTCTAACGATGCTTTTACTACCAAGGGCCACATACGTTAACGTTATATGATATATCTTACTTCTAACGTTACATCAGACAGTTCAAACCTGTTCTACATGTACATCAGCCTAATACATGTAGCATACTAGCATCTCTTGCTCGGAAGCGTACGCCTGTAACATTTAACCTCTTTTCATATAACTGACGAAATGTTGTCGAACAGAAAGTCGAAAATCCAGCTCTGCCCACGCGTACTCAGTCGTAGTGACAGATCGCACTTCTGTGAACACTTGGACACTTGCGTTGGCGGGAGCAACTACCGTGAGAAGACTTCCCGTGCCCCCCATTTCCTACGAAGAACATCAAAGGAAAATATCCAATAGCTTTTTTGTCCCACTTAGGAGCTGTAAAATAAACGACAAGCCATTTGCACTTGGTCATTTCCGCTGTTTTATTAGCTGCGTATGTCTGTTTTGTACTCTGCCATATAATTCCAATATGTGCCGCACAATTGGACGCTGTATCGTGCATAGTACAACCATCAAAAAGCGATGGAGGAGTTCCGGCTCTCAATTTCGACACAATTTGTCCGGATACATCATATTGTTTACACGTTAATGGCAACAACAAGGACATCTTCTAGTATTCTACAACAAAGTTTATATATATTGTCCCATTGAAAGGAGAGGAAGCAATTTTCTTGAACATAATTGTGCATGCTGATGTGCCATTTTTTTCACATATTAAAAGTAACCGTCGACGTCCTTCGTGATACAAACGGTCCGATTGAAAGTTGGCAAGGCATTGATTTACACTTACGTATCACATCGGACTATGACACACTCTCCGACGTCAAACAATCTTATACACTAGTTGCCGTGCAGGTCAATCGCCTTCCACGGCCCCTTTTTATCCACCTTTTCATCTAGCCTCCTATGTGGTGATGGAGATTCCAGCTAGTCTGTGAAGTGATGTTTGCTGAAGGAAAGCTGGACTTTTCTTGCAACAACATGAACAACCTACAAGATAAAATTGGTTTTCCTGCTAATGGCGCATCTGCTGTAGGCCGTCGTAAGATTTTGATGCCGTCCAATTTTGAAGTAGGCTGTGACATGATGACATCATACATCTTCGCTTTTCTACAGTACAGTCCGCACATGCAAGAATCATACACGCCCCCACAAGTGTTCCACAAGACGGCGAATGCACTGACTCGATGATAGGTAGCTTAATCAAGACTTGGTGACTCATGGCAGGATTTAAGATAGGCCAGTTCTTTTGATTTCTCACCAAAATTGGAATGATGGTGTTTCATTCGCCCTCTCGTGAGTGTCACTGCATTTTTCTCTGTCGAACAACAGGAATATCATGACAACTGTTTGTTTGTTTGTTTGTTTTTGCTTTTGTGGGTATTCTTAGTGGTGAGCGTTTTGCTCTACAAGGCCATGGGTCGATATTTCGCGACTCCTCTGAGTTACCTAGCCATATTTGCTCCCTCACCAACTTGGCACCCAAACTTCTAGCCGCAGCACATCTATAAATCTTGTACTGTTTTGGAAACACAACCTGCAATGACCTTTGTCTAGAGAGTGAGCCTCTTTTAGATCATTCAAGGCATGTGCCTCCGGCTACTCAGAAATATCCTCATTAAATTGGAATTTTCCCTTCTAAATCGGGCTTACGATATGCTCCATGGGTCGCCTATTCCATAACATACCAGACGGATGCCACCCGAGGACTATTTCTAGGCTTCAACTGCTACTGCGCCTCCTCGATCCAATGTCCAATGTTTCAAATAGTCCTGATGTCAGCTGTACTTTCGTCTGTAGTTCTTGGCACGCTACTCGCAATAATCCTCCACATGTACGGGCACGTCTTTGCTTTCCTTCCATATGTTTTTATGATACTAAAATAAGTACATCGCATCATGCATGTAGACATCCTTCAGCTGAAAGCGGTCCGACTCTAGAGATTCCAAGTTTTAACTGATATTAGATCAATGCAAAAATAAAAAGTTTATGAAGAGTTCGAATTCTAAAACATAATATAAATGCCCGATGGAGTCTCAAAGGATTTTAAGCCCCTTGGAGTATACTATAAGCGTGTCAGAATAGGTCTCATTTGAGCTTGATAGTGAAAATTGATGGAGCCTTTGGCTGCTTTTAAATTTGCTGCAAATTTTTTGGACAGGTTGAGAGTGTGTTTCTTTTAAGAATGCCAACAAAGTTTGACTGACTTAACTTTTGTGTATATTTTTTTTGTAATATCGTTTTTCTATGTTCTTCATGGAACTCGGTACCATGGCGACGTCGGTGATATTAAACTTTCGACGTCATTTCTGTGCCGTTTTTGGACACTCTGTGTTTTGTTTCTCGTACAAAAATTACAGAACGTCCCATAAATGAGGACTCGGCGTCTAATGAATAATTCAAACCAAAGATGTCAACGTAGGGTTTTTTTAAAGACACTTTGTTGCATTTGCAGCCGCCAAAGATCCTCAAAATGACACATGAACTGGCAACGTTTTAACTTAAAACATCGCGTGAAACTTTTCCCAACATCATGGCGATCGGGACAGAAAGCTCCAGTGGTTTAGGTCTCAATCAGTCGTCTAGCTAGTCATGAATACTGGAATCTCTTGATGTTCAGGGCGTAAGGCCACATCTTAGCACGGCATTGGCAGCACGACTTCACTCTGATTGGTCGGACGAAAAACCGCCTGCCATTGGTCAGCACGGCATCCTTGATAACGGACAGCTGTGCGCATGTGCTGAGGTCTCCGGAGCCGCTGGAATGATGTGGATTCCATCTGAAAATGGTCAGAATGAAGTTAGACGTTTTCCTCACAATGTAGACTATGAGGATTGAACGCATTATTGACCTCGATCTTCACGAAGTGTTGCACCATTCATACATAGCTCAGACCTAGCCTACATTTCAGTTCCGATCAGTGACTGGCATACTGGCTTAAATTTAGCAACTGAGGATTGATACCTCCTAGCATTTAGGATGCCGTAACCTGCTTGTACTGAGGATGACTGGGCTGTTCCAGAAAGTGTCATCACCCCTTGTTTTCCCACTGGTAGAGTTCAAGGTCCTTTAGTCCTTGACATTAAAGTTTGAATGGTTTCGGGCCTCACTTTGAAATTGCACAATCAACTGTTGTTGACGTTGACAAGTGTCTGATATCGACTTGCTTGAACAGTACTACTCTCGCACATTCGGATGGCATTTTCTACGGTTCTATATCTTTCCTAAGTAGTGGTCGCGATTGTAAATGAAAGAAAATAGGGAAAAATAGAATCGTAGAAAACGCCGAAAATAAAGTACCCCTTAATCGAAAGGTAGTGGCACAGGTCATTCAGAAACTTTGAAAGTTTACAATGTACTAGTGCGTAGTGCCCTTACCTGCATGGCAGCCCCTCGCTGAGACACGTGACCTCGTGAATCTTCTGCTCGTAGATCTTGCCCAGGAACACCACACACCTGACGATCTCCAGCGGCTGTCCCGTGTACGGGTCCCGCTCCTCCACAAACCGCGAGGCCGGCCGCTGGATAGACGGGCACCCACCAGAACCCTCCCCGAACCCCAGCCCGAAGGAGCTGCGCCACGCCTTGAAGGGCTTCAGGGACCGTTTCGGTTTGAAGTACGGCCGGAAGCGACGTAGTAGTCGTCCCTTAAAATCCACCGCACAGTCCTCCACGTCGTCGATGGTGAATTGCTTGAAGCCGGTGGAGGTGGAGGCGAGGACTAGTGTCAGCAGAGCAGACATTAACACCTGGGAGAGAAACGGGGACATCGTTCAGTTGCACCAGCAAACGTCTTTGAGTAAACAGGAAAAGTTCCTCACATAGAAACTCCTCGGCTAGACTGGTGAGAACTAGATCTTGAAGAGGTGAACTTTTCTTACAACGTGGGCGGTGGAGGCACAGATTGTGACTTCACAGTATAAGTCAAGGTCGATTTACTGTTTTCCTCTTTCCTCACAAGAGACACTCTAATCCCGAAGACCTCAACATGAGTTATATGACAAGGGCGTATTGTGGCCCCCCAGGAAGAAAAACGCGCCTTTCAAAGCCACATGACCAAGACTCCCCAGTTAACGAGAGGGCACCGATATGCTAGCGTTAGTCAAATTACCGAACCAGTCCGCAATATTGTCAAAGGCTCCGGTCAAATGGACAAAATTGGCCTTTTACCCCCTAGAACGATTGCTGCATAGCCAGCGATTTCTTCAACCGAGAAGAAATTTGTTTTGCTCGGGATGGATTAACGTCTGAAATGTTGAATTTTCAAAAACCTTTTCGGTCAAAGGAAAGATTAAGTCATGTATTACATCTTTCCGGACGTCGCCCCCCCGCGTGGAGATGTTTTCATCTTCGCTCTGTTTTATTTGCTGCGGAAATCATGCAGTACGGGCACTTATAGAAACACGTGGGATGGGAGAGTTTGATGGAAACAGCCCATCGCTGAATATGTGTAATAACGCCCACACATGTCATAACAGCTTCTATAATACCTGCCCAAAACTGGTTAGAGGAAGTTCGGGATTTCATGATATTGGAAACTATAAGGAATACATCAAGGTGATTACGCTGCCCATTTTAAGGCTGCTGTTTGGGGAGAGAAATAGTTTACCATTGTTCAATGTTCGACCTCTTCTTTTTATTAAACAGTCCGACATATCTTTCTGGGTTTGACAAATGATCCCCGCACTGTCAGAGGTACAATATGGCAGGTGGTGTCGATATGAACGCTAATAGCATCGTGACTTACGGAGTAGGCTCATAAAATACATTGAACGTGAAATAGACAGATACATGTATGTCTTTACTAGATTGTAGGGAATATGGGCGACTTGATCATGGAAACTTAGTATTTACAGCACTATGGACAGCTGGGCCTATTGTTTTATAGTGGAGGTTTTATGATCCCAGCTACCTAATACTAGTAATTGTTTGTGAACATCATAGACATACTTGAAATGGAAAAGTATTTTAATACATGATGCAACTTTCACAATTGTAACAACTGACAAAGTTTGATTTTTGTTACCACTAGCTACTATAAAATCAGTTTTAGGCGAAATGTTTACTCTCAAACTTCTGCAAGAACAGGAGCTTGTATGTACGTGCATGTTAGCTTGATAGTATTCCAATACAGTGCCGACAGTGGTAGCTATGGCGGAGTTACGCCCCTGTAAAACGCTGGGATACAAAACATGTTTTTAGTCGCACACTGTCGCCTTTATGTGTCAACTTCACTAAAATGTGACCCAGTTTGTACCGGGTCGGCGACTCATCCAGGGCGGCAAACGGCGCACGGACCCCACAAGGGGAGGCGGGCGTCCTTTCACCTTTGGGAGGCACTAAGGGAAAAATTGTGTTTCCGGTATCCCGACCAACTCTAGCAAAAACCTCCCAACCCTAGCCTTTTCGGGGGGTCGACTGTTTACAGGAAACATGAAATTTTCGTTCTGATTGTAGAATCGTAGAATGTGTAGTGAACTTCATACTTCTTTGTTTATCAGTTTATGTATTTACCTGTGCTTGTGCAATGTGTTCTGTATAGCTTAAGTATTATGTTGAAAATAACAGTGTCCTAATGCGTTTCAGTTGTACATTATGTCGTGCTTAGACCAAAATCTAACGTGGAGAATCCCTAGTACTTACCGACTCTAATTTTTGACGGTAATTGATTGGAAGAAAACACAACATTAATTTGCCCAGGCCCGACAAGTTTGTCCTGAGGAGGTGAAATCGCGCGTAGTGAATACAGGAGTGTGGCTTTCTCTGAACAAAAGACAGTCTGTGAAGGATATACTTCTTGTTCAGTGCTGATAGGAACTACCCGAAGAAACAGCGTCGTTTATGATGACTATGCGAGTCCATCTCCAACCTAGACCTGCCTTAAGTTAAATCGCCTTAAACCGGAAGGGAGGGCTTCGCGTACAACTCTACAGTTCATGCCATACGTTGCCATGTTCAACTAATGTTGACAAGTTCTACCAGTTCACGGCTTAGTGCTTGACGTAGACGAATTGTGATGGACGTCACTCAAAACGTCCGGAGAGTTTGAAATGTCTATGAGTATCGTTTACCTGGATGTCTAACCTTCATTAACGTAATTATTCTTTAAATCATGCAAATTAGCCACAAGGATGTGTTCAATGTGACGTGCCATGCGCATGCTTGCCATCAAAGTCTCTACGATAATCCAATTGCAAGCTCTTGACTTAAACTTAACTGTGTTTCCAGCACGTGCAAACTGTCAATGACTGCCCGTCCCTGAATGAGACGTACGGGGCACCCCTACAATGTCATCCCTTCGTTAAGACTTGTTTACGCCACTCCTATCAGCTACTACATCATCCCCACGGCGCTGCTGCCCTTGTTTGGTTTCCGACCTCGTGTATTTATCCATTGACAAAACCGTGCGCGGTCCGTAGGGATTGTACCATACCAGGAGCATGAACCACCGTGGACAACCTAATATAGGTACTAGTTCTCCGTTGTTCTAAGTCTACTCAATGTGGGCCGGGACACCCACTATCTGACTATCCCGGTGCCGGAGATAGAAGACTGGAATTTTCCCGATAGTTGCTTGAGATAAAAATGTCGTTTTTCATTTAACATCAAGACTCCTAATTCTGATCCTGATTATTGTTTTAGCGTGTACATTGAATTAGTTTGATATTCTTGATATTCTTAAAGACAAAATAAAACAATATTCGTAACAGATGAAAGCCATCGTATTGCAGAATTTGGAGTGTTACATTTTCACATGCCGTTTTCATTACTTAGTTGGAAACGTTTGAAGTAAATGAAAGAGGTTGTCGACACATTTTCATTATTCCACAGGCTGTGCCACAGGTTGTTATTTTCTGTATAGTCTATTCCTTTTAAGCGTGTTGGATAAGTTCAATTCAGTTTTGTTTATTACGGCATGTTTTGTTCGTAAACAGCGTGTTTTCCTACTTGTCTTGGAATCAATACCAATGTCATTTGGACTCTGTTTGCTGTGCGTATTTTCATTCGTTGGCGTTGCCAATAATTCCAGACTCGAGCTCTGTTTTCCCCAGTCTTCAAATCTTAAGCGTCTTTCATTTCCGTATTCCGCCAAATCCACTTGTTTCTTGTCTACAGTGGGGCAGCATGTACATATGGAGTATATAGATCAATGTAACGCTATGTTCGTATCCGATTTGTGCGATGTATCCGCGAATACTTTATGGCCAATGAAAATAAAGTATCGGGTGATGCAGGCACATGTACACATCTTATTTTTAGAAATGGCTTACTTTTAGAATACAACATCATTGGTTTGCGATTTTAAAACTGACGTTGCCCGTATCATATCCCGCACATGTTCTTGGTTACTGTGGGATGTTGGGCAATGGGGTAACGCGAACACCAGTTTTACACCATGACATACAACTAAAGCCGAACCTACATATAGCCAGTGAGGCGGACAAAAGCAACGGGCTAGCCAAATACTCACGGTAAAAACTGACTTAAGGTTAAGATCGTCTACTCACCGTTTTCAGTCCGTAGATTTCCATCTTTCTATTCAGATCTAACGACGAGCGCTGAAATCAGTCCCGCTTTTGTGTAGTTGTTGTCCGTTGACTTCTGCCTCAATCTAATGCACGAGTTGGAGTGGAAGTGTCGTCTGGCAGCTTCCCTAGCAACGCTGTTCATTGGACTGGCAACTGAGGCCCCTCGCTGCCAGGTTATGCCAAGCTTCTGCAACAGGAAGTGACGTCATCTGAGGATGTTCCTTCTTTTTTCAAACGACCAATCAGAAGCGCCCATTCTGATTCAATCATCCTTCAGGTTCATTACTTCAGGGGCAGTGTCAGTCATCACGTGTCACGTGACCAGCAGACGGCTGCACCTGTTGCGTTGACTCATCGGTCCGGTAAAAAAGATGGTACTTTTCCAGTCAGGAGGATATCCGAGAATCTGGTTGACGTTCATAGAAATGATACAACTATGTAGTCATCCATGAATGATAATAAAATAAAAGAACGTCCTGTGCGTAAGCGAACCGTAGAATGATTACATATCCTTGTGAATAACATGGCGCATATATCCTAGGAGATTTTGATAGGAAACACCGTAACATTTTGGTGTGCCCTTTTTGCAGACACGTGACACATATATAGGCAGGGCAGGCAGAAAATGTTAAATCTACCCTCCCGACGTCTACTTGGAGATTAGCAGGGCGCCATGTTGCCATAGTTGGGATTCTGGCGGCGTGCTGCCCCGCGGCCGTACACAGCTGACATGACCTGAGACGTGTCAACACTCATGTACCCGGTATCTCCGGGTCCACGCACGCCAGATACAGCCCACGGCATTCACATGGTAGTCACCGACCCGGGGGAGGGAGGGATGAGTCTTGGGTCCTTGGGTCTTCTTTGTAACGTAGGAGGATATGAGAAACAAAAGAGTAAATTCTAAGAGCTCAGGGATGGCAATGGTAATATATTCCATCAACACGCGCACACAAACACGCGCACACAAATACATAATTTATACACACGCCCGCACGCACACGCACGCACTCACACACGCACACACATCTTAGGAGCCGTTGTACTTTTAAGTTAAGAAAGATAAAAAAGATAATTTTTCCGCCAAAAGGTTTAATCAAACTTTCCACAAACCAATCATTTTGCATTCATCAGTATTTTTCCAATTGACATGTCGTGTCAGGGAGAAATGTGGACTGAGGAAATTTGGGTTTTCCTAATAATATGTCTTTACATGTACTTATACAACAGGTAGTCTTACCTACCCTCCCTCCCTTTCCCTCATGTTACCTGGGTTCTGTAATAAATTACCTTGACCTTGCTCCCAACTAAAGTCGCAAGTCAATGTCCGAATAATCCTGGCATCTCTTCCCAACAGCTGCCAATCCCTCCAGGACTTCTGACAGGGAAAGTCGTCTGACCTTCTGCACCTTCCCTGGTCCATGTCTGAGTAAACAGTCTTCCCTCCGACTCACGTCCTGGCGCACCAGACGACTGTTTGGCATTCTTCCGTGTTGTTACTCGTTTCATGACCTTTAGTCATGTCCCTAGAGTTGTTCCTCTTCCGGAGACGATGGCAACAGATCTAGATTAAGATAAATAAGTACGTCATCATTTGCTCACTCATCTTTGTTTTACACGTGCAAAACATGTATACTGATAACTCGGGCACAACTAACGTTACATGTGGTCGATATTCGCCGCCAACCAGTGCAACATTCCCACATCCGAATTCACTTTCCATACCTGCAACCGTCTTTACGGTAGCCTTTTGCCTTTGAGTGAAGGGTATTGGATTTAAACCACTTTCAAACTTTTTTCAAAGCTCTCTTCGCCAAGTTGGACAATGGAACCTTAGCTGTCTCTTACAGGTTTCAATAAAACATATATCCTCCTTCTTTTCCTTCTTCTTCTTCTTCTTCTTAATCCTTCGGGGTCGAAGAAGACAGCCTTAACTTTGCTTGCATGTCGAAAAGGGGTGAATCTGAGTCCGGTGAAGTGACTGGCATAGTAGGCAACTAAAAGATCAGTTTAGAATACTGTCTAACTACCGCTATCTCTACTTTTGGCGCAGGTCTTTCGGGCATTTCCAGGCGAGGGAACACGGCGTCGTGTGGGGATACCGTGACAAGGAGACCGCTGCAGAGGTCCAGACTGTGAAACTGGGCTTCTGCAGAACACGACAGTCTGTCACCAAGGTACGGGTTGGCTGTGTTTCGGTTCCGGCTGCCACTTGGCACGTACAGCATGCGTGCCAAGTGGCAACCGGTACACCTGGTTCTCTACTCTGCCTGGCCTGATCCTGGCTACCACGATTAGCCGTTCAACCAATGAGAGAGGGTCAATTATTGGGATAACCAATGAGATTGCGGCTACATGTTCGTCGAATATTTGCATATTTTATTTTATGTTTTATTTTCCATTTTATATATTTATTACGGAGATGGCCGGACTAAGGGACTGGTTTATTGCCCTCAAAGTTGTCCGTATATGTTCTTTCATTGTAATTTGAAGATTATGAAAAGGACGTGCTCTTTTTAAAACATCTTCTATCATTCAGTGCTATACCGTACACAATGCCCAACTTACTAGGGTATATTTCGAATTCCAGCTTTTACATCTAATAACGGAAGAGTTTGTCGGACGTGGCATCCCCGCAGTTGGTGTGTCAGTAAGTTCTTTCTACCTTTTTATTGCTTTATTTCACGGAGCATATTTGTAATACACATACAGTGTATACGTGTAAATAAAAGTGTACTTTATCATCATCATGATTGCCTTTATCCTTCATTTGGCTACGGACTTTTCCCTAGATATGCAGTGTTTCAATAAGGAATATGGTCTGTCTCTTTTCCTTGCGTTCATCAAAATATTCTTTTTCCGATCAGCCGTTGTCGTCATGGGTTACGGATGACGCGTCTGTGGTGAAGGCAGACACTGACAACATCCGGGACATGCTCCTGGAGGGTTTCGTTCCCGTCATGCACGGCGATGCTGTCCTAGATCGAAGACGAGGCTGCACCATCCTCAGTGGGGACACCATCATCAAGGTCTGGACTAATGTCCTTGTCGGAACTAACGGTCATGAACTTTGATTTTTATCGCTTATGATTTGTGTGGCTGTTTCCTGACGTAGATTTTATCCGTACGTTTCAGCACCTTTGTGGCGTGTTCCACCCCCCGCGGGTCGTGTTTCTCACCGACGTGGCCGGGATCTATGACAGGCCGCCCGAACAGCCAGGTACGGTAACTTGTTAGTCACGGTGTTCACGTCAATGATTTTTCTTACACTTAACACATCTATGCAGTTGAGGGTTGAAGGTTAAGGGACAAAACAAAAAGAAGCAAAAGCGTGCTACATTGTCGATTGTTCAATTTTATTTTCGCTCATTCTTTTTTTTTTCAATTTTCTCCGACTAGCAGGTGCTCAACTCATTCCAGAAATTCAAGTTGATCAAGATGGAAAACTACATGTTTCCATAGCAACGTCTTCACAGGCACATGATGTCACTGGAGGGATTGCTTTGAAACTCAAGTCTGCCGTTGACATTGTGACCGAGAGTAACGGTCGTACCTGCGTCATGGTCTGTGGTATCCAATCAGGGACTGCTGTACGAGCATGTGTGGAAGGACAACTCCCAAAAGGCACAGGGACAATTGTTCAGCTGAATATGTGCAAACACCCGGATGAAGTTACGTAGCGCCCTCTATCTACTGTCAAAATCGTAATTTTGATTCCACTATTAAAATAAATCCGGACGTTCACCTCCTTCTGGCTGTTTGTTTATGTATTGTCGTGTTGCATGGCGGTAAGCATGCAAGTTGTGTCATGTGACCTCCTGGTTATTCAAATATTAAACGACACTTGTTTCACTTTCACCTATATTGTCTGCGAAACGCACTCTTGTATAGTCCCTGTGCGATTTCTTCATTTCCCTGAGCCCAACATAACTGTTCCAACTGTGATTCTGGTTGTTTTTTTGCGTCTTTTTTCTGGGCTGTCTCGGAACCCAGATATCCCCATCTGCACATGCGCACAGGTCGTTGTTTCCTTGGTGAATGTTGCCGTTTGACGTCACTTCCGATGTGCTGGTCTCAGTAAGCAGCAAAACGTATTCTGTGATGTAGAAAAATCAGTGTTGACTTTATTACTTAATCTTATTGGAGTACACGGCTTAATGTCATAGTTGTGACATATTCATAAATAGACTGACTGCCCATCACAATTAGCAGTCCAACCAATGGTAGCATGGCAATTGCTGGTTCGACCAATGAGAGAGTGGCTGCAAATATTTGCTTTCGACTGTTTTTATTTCGCATGTCTCTAATTTGACGGAGGTGGGCCAGTCCATAGGATGAGTCTATTACATTCATAAACAGAGTGGCGTTTCAAACGAAACATTTCTCACCCTCATCCCCCGGTCGGTCCTCCTCCTCGGATGTCAAATGTAAAGCCGCGTCTCTTTTCGTCCGATTGACATTTGGTGCAGAATACCGTTGGAATCTCTCCAGTTCATCCCAGCCTATTCTAGGCGATGATATAGACCTTTTCTGAAACGACAAGACTTCATGCTAAAGTTACAATGTTTAGTTGTTATAGATTTTAAGTAACGAGTATATGACTGAATTTTCGATGCGATAGCTATTCTACGGTGCCATCCTGGACTTCAAATACTGTTCAACAGGTGGCACCCTAGGCGGTTTTCAGACCAAACAGATATACCGAGCATGACTGTCTGTCACAATTAGAAGGTCAACCAATGACAGCTAGTTGAGCTAGGGAATTATTGGCTTGACCAATGACAAGGTGGCAGCATGTCTGTATAATATGTTAATATTCTTACTTTGCATGTCTATGATTTGACGGAGGTGGTTGTGCCAAGAAGCGGTCTTAATTCGTGCTGTGCTGCATCATCCGGAATCCGGACTAGTCTTTACCATGTAACTTGGAAAAAGGCGTCCTTACCATGTATAGTTAAACAAGGACGGAAAGAGATGCTATACATATGCACCATCCGCGCTCGTCTAAACATACCATCTGAGGTTGGCGGCTAATTCTTATACTGAAAAATAAGATGGCGGCCTTGGTGATGAACTCCACAGCAATGAAGACCAGGGTATCTCTGGGGAAAGACGTCAGAAGACTCTTCTTCTCTTCCTACGAGAATACAGGTAAACAATTACTACATTATTCAATGGGAATTTTAGAATTTCAATTAAAAAAGGAAAAACGAGATGTAGTCAGATAGCTCCATGTCAAACATGACAGGCTGTACTTTTGTTATCGTCAATATATGTCGCGAGGCGGCGCTTTTGTATATATGGTGCAATCGTCGACGTTCCTGGCGCAGATTCAAACGTATACGCACACACACGTGAACGCACATACCCAGGGAACGCGCAGATTTCCCCCCCAGTAACCGGTACATGAGTTCTTACAGGTAAAACGAAGATGAGTACTCCAAACACGACATCCAGTAACAAAGACAGGACGCACAGGAGCTGGAAAGTCGTGTACTGAGGAAAGAAAAATATTTTGACATATTGGTCACCGACCACACACCGTTGCGATATCAAATGTGAGAGCTGTATAGATACTGGGATACAGAAATAGTCATAACTTTTACAACATTAAATTTAATCTGGATATTGACCTGAAACGATGACTTACCCATGTGAGTTTACCAGCCCCAGAGATCACCATAGAAAAGACAGCATTAGCCATACTCTGGGAGGAAAGGAATTGTAAATTTTGACATGTCCTGACATGATCGCTAGCTGGTATATCATACAACATTGGAAAATAAATGTGCCATCTTCACTACGATGCAGAACCTTTACAAGATATAAACAACTTCCAAACTGACCATGAAAGCTGTGACGTTTTCCATCAGCCCTCCCCGGACTCCGACTTGTCCGAACTCCACCAGTCCCATCAGCATCAACATCCCGCCAAGCACACTGCAAGTTTTTCAAAATTGTTTAAAATTGTTACTTCAATTTCTTGTGGTGTCATTTTTTTCTTCAGACAGTTATCTTATATTCGTACTCACATCTGTATAATATAATATAATATAATATAATATAATATAATATAATATGATATGATATGATATGATATGATATGATATGATATGATATGATATGATATGATATGATATGATATGATATGATATGATATGATATGATATGATATGATATAATATAATATGATATGATATAATATAATATGATATAATATAATATAATATAATATATAACACCTACAAGTGACAACATACAATTCTAAGTACCCCTCGTAAAGTAATACCTTAAAATTCTCACCTGAGTGGATTACCCATGCCCCATGCTGTGCTGTGCCGCCTCCATCCGCTAGGTGACGTCAATTGTACACGGCTATCCATTTTAGTCGTCCCTTGGCTGTGGTGTTCGAATTCGTCTTCCTACGCTTCTATTGGTTGATATGCTGTAAAATCACCACTGGTCATTGGGGGCACTTTCATTCAACGATTACACGAGATCACAATCAGTGAAACAAAAATGGTTGTCAGCACCAATTACATATATACATAATGTTGATGATGTTACGACTACTAGTATGTGATTGTGCAATCATTTAACAATTAATTACACGGTTACGCTATGGGGTGCATCAACTTTGCACAATCACATCCATCCCCTAGCCCCTAGCTTAAGTTATGGATATGACCTTAGTCCTGCCAGCTCGGTAATCAAAGCACACCAGCCTACAGCATACTTTATTGTTCACTTCCAAACTTAAATGCAGATATTTGCTTGATCTACAAAATATATACATGTGTGTACGTTTAGGTACTCCCCAAAATAACGACAGTTTACCTGGACGTGTTCCATGTATATAACACCGTAACCACCTTATCCTTAATTACAGGTAATGTACAGGTAGACATGTTTTATAAATGATTTGGTTTACACATGATGTACTCGGATGTTGTAGTGATCTGGGTGACGGGTGTATTAAAATAGGTGGTACTTGGCAAACATGTCTGAACTCACAATCAACGTCTTCATAGCTCTTTTTCGTAAGCCTAGCCTCTAGAACAGGTGAAAGAATGATTTGCATCATACCTTGTTCGGCGGGAGGGAAAAATGACCTGTGTTCTCGCCTGATAATGACGTCATGTTTACTCATGTACTGCTGGAATAAAGTCCACCAGTCTGATGTCCACAGGGCAAATCTTACTGCAGCAATATCCCACCTGTTACCGATAACATGTCATACTGGCTAATACGTGTACTGTTTACACAGGTCTTGTTGTTTAATCTTTTCAATGACATTCCATTCTATATATAGGGACCATTTTTGCGCATGGGTCAATGTCATTTCAAAGTCTGCCAATTTATAGATATTTTTTCTACCCATGAAAAACGTGTCAAAGACTTCTGTGATGAGCTTTTTAAGCTAGCTTCCATTTTACTATGATTCCCATTACTAGCTGTCTTGAAGACCTCTGCAGACAGAAATAGATCTAGTAGATAGTAGATCACTTCCGCCAGGTATGAAGATCACTTCCAATTAAGGCCGCTCATCCTTCACCGGATATGAAGGCGACAAGGTAATATCCTGCCTATGGCGATGTCAGGATACATAGCGCCACAACGTTAATAACCCATGTTTATGCGCGATGAGTCTCTCAGTGTAATAATGAACATATGCTACATCATGACATGCCACTCATCGGCACTATAATATGACGGCTATGGTCGCCTCCTGTCACAGTCCCACTGTTTTAATACGGGGACACAGACAGAATTTTATTCACAAAAGGCGCCAAAGTATAATAGAATTCATCGCTCTCTGTCATCTACTCGGGTATACTGGTGCTAACACGAGTCAAAGCGAGGCTGTCTAGGTCAAAGGTGACATGTCTGTCTCACGTTATGTCTGGGCAGCGCTGACGAACGATGGTAAATCACCCTCCATTCAAAATCAAACGGACATTTTCAGCAACCTTGGCGAGTAGGGGCTAGACTCAACATCATAGCAAACAACCGATGGATTCCAGAGAACAAAAAGTACGGTCAAGGCCGAAAGTTTTTTTTCCAGCTGCACCGGTAGACGTTTGTCAGATTTTGCATTCACGTGATTGTGACGTAATTTAGCGTCCGCCATGCTGGTAGATTAAAGACGCGAGAGAACCGTCTTCCTGAAATTTGTAATGGACCGTTGAATTTTTCCCCTGTATATTCAAAAAGCAACAGATTATGCATAACTTCCGTCTTGGTTTGATTACCACCTACCACCAGTACCATCAGTCCGGTCGCCATCTTGGATTTACTCATCTCACCAACATTTGATTGTGACCACTTCTCACATACGTGTATACAAATTACGATTGTCGTTAATGGAAGCCTTTATGACGAAGTAAAAGTATCAAGAAACCTTTATTGGCTTGGGTAACACCTCATATGGTTTATTCCTCTGGTTTTATGAATGTACAGTATATTGTCAATATGTAGAGATACAACAGGTCGGATCACAAATGGTGATGATATCTGGGTACGAGAGCAAAGGGTGGTACCGGTAAGTCTTTAAAGCTGGGGACGAGATGGACACGTATTAATACAATTAGTCGTCATCCTGTGGTTTCCTTTTCTGCATAGAGTTATATTCTGGAGCAACAAGCAAAATTGTCAAAACCAAGGAGCTTTAAATTCAACTGATTTAACCTCCTTGTTAAAACTAAACGTTATTTCAATTAACGAGAAACAGCATGTAAATAAATGCCTTGCACATACTTTCTAGCTTATATACAGATAGAGTAAGTACGATTGTAACAACTTATATCACTATGTTTAGTGACGTTTTTCCCACATTAGTTTGAAGAACCATGGAAACATAGCACCATAGAACGTGCAATTACACAACGGTCTAAAACAAATTAAACCTTCTCTGACATGTAGGCAACAACGTTAACCTTTAAACCTATTTCAACAAAAACCCAACTTTTCCCAAGGGTGACATGTCTTATTGAGTTCTGTTCGTTTTTCTTTACGTACATGTAAATTCCTCCCAATGCAACCATACAGTGCTAGACGTCTCGCCGACATTTCCACATAGCGTTGAGTGTCTTATGGTATGGGCATGCCGCACTCGTACCACCTCCCGAAGAACTTGCCGGTTCCGTCGTACCCGATCGGCCCGTACTTCGGGTCTTCTCCTCGGTACCGCCGCCAAAAACCTGTGAATGGTACGGTCATCAGTTATATTACAAGGGGAAACTGTTACCACAAACTCGGAAATGTGCTAAAACAAATATGTCCGTTATACATTAGAAGTAGTAGTACTGTACGAGTAATTTATGACGTTATTTTTTAATGGAAGCTCACCTGTGGCTTGCTTACAGTAGGAGTAATACGGGTCTATGGCTGAGGCATCACGGGCAGAGCCCAGGAACTCGCAGTGATCCTGCCCCTGCCCTACCCTGTCCGCCACGTTACGGAACAGACCTGTCAGCGAGTCACTCAGGAAGATCTGGGAAGGAAAGACGCAGTGATCGTTGGTCTCTACAGGCTGGATTAGTTACTTCGAAAATGCTATGATTCCTTATATTAGTGGTAAATGATTAGAATTTCATACTAGTGAAATGTGTAAAGGTTAACATCACTATGTATATATTATGTTAATGTGTATATTATGTTAATGTGTATGCAACTTCAATAATTATAAATTGTTGAACTTAGTCACTGCCAAAGGATATGGCTTTCACACATAAAACGTTTGAGATTTGAGTTTAGAAAACTGTAATTGAAATAGATTGTCAATTACAACCTTATTTCCATATATTAAACCAATGAAAAAAGTGTAAAAGCAACAAGCATTTAAAAAAGCTCTACATATTTCATGGACGTGTGAGATCTCCGAATTCTTGTTGAAAGTGGAAATTTGGCAAACTGTAATCAATTGGATTCCACATCTAATTTGTTAAGGCAGACTAACATTCAAAGAGTAGTCCACACCTCCACAAACTTCATGGAGTAGGACCAGTTCAGCTGTTAATTCAAACCAGGTATAGCTAAACTTGGACGGCTGTTACAGGTTTCAGTAACAGTTTAAACACTCGTTTATCACAGGTGATTTAACACCACAGGCGGTACTTTTTATGTAACGGTTGAAAAACAACGTCATAATAGATACAATTTAGGGAATATTAAATACCTTATAACGCGTGGGCGTACAGAGGACGACACCGACGTATTTGCCGACGTCATACTTGGTACGTTTGACGTACTGGTCGCCATGGCAACTGTTACAGGTGTCGTCATACTGGAACTTGTAGGCCGTCCAATAGTTCTCATCCACGGGCGGCGGATCTGCAGATTGAATACGACAAATACGTTCATTTTTCTCAACACATTCCCGAGAAAGAGCTAACCATATGTCAAAGGTGTAGGTTAATAGAACCGTCAAACGAAACCCCCATGGTCTAGACAAGATACGCTTGTAAAAGTCAGCATATATCGGAGAAAACTCGTTTATTTGGCGCGGCGTTTACGAGTCCAGGAAAAACGATTCCCTGAAACGTGTCTGTCATTTAAAGGCCTTCGCAGTTCATGGGCAACCATCGTCCTCTCAAACTGTATAAAGTCTAACCTCTGCCCGAGTATTCAAAATATAGATATATGATCTTACATCGCAAACTGTAGGGTTAATAGGGGAGATTCCGCTGTAAATAATCACACGCACACGAACCACGTACAGTTGTCATTGACGTCAGTTCAGTTCAAAACAGCGCCAGACATTTGACCGTGCCTCTCAGTGGTTTTCGGTGTAAGTTTGCTGAGAGAATCTTGTATTTACTCCACATGTAACTCCACAGCTAACCACGCCAAACACGGGACCTGATGATGAACTCTCTGGCTAGCCTCTTAGGGGGCATACTGTCGTCGTGTGGCGGGTATACATGTGATACTGGTTCTCGGTAACGCACTGCAGAGTCAAGCGTCTCTGCAGTACACATCCTAGCCTGAGGGGGCGCTACATATACATGGCCACTCTTGAAAGTGCACGAGAGAACAAAACGAGCAAAACCAGTGTAATTAAACTTGACTTAAAGTAGTCCATGATTAAAAGGTGTGGTTTACGGACCAGTGAAGTGGGCAGACGTTTGATGCTAAAGACTGTGTCAGGAAGACTTTTTTTCATTTATCTTATCAACATCACGTGATGAAGGAATGACGAGTGATGTGAAGCTTAGACTAAAGCTGATATCACAATAGGGACTTGGTGCCAGTGTAGTTTAAGTGCAGAGGTCCTGGGTTCTTGGATTGGGTAATCCCACGGTGGAGATAGAGACTTTATTGTTATTCCAGACCTTGCTACTGTCAGACTCCGGGAGAGGCTAGCTTCGTCCGTTGGCCAGACCTCCTCGGCTTGGCTACATAAGTACATTATAGGCTTGCTCACTCTTCAGCAATGTAACAACATCCCCGCTAAACACGTCTTCTGTAGCATGATATCGATGGTGATATTCGTCGTAGGTAGCTGTAAGGTTTTAATGTCGCAGTGTTTTCAAGCAGGCTGCGACAGAACCAACCATTGTTGAGTACACTTGTAATTGCTCTTCCCATTCCACATTGCCTGGTACAGACCAGTGCTATTTCTCCTAGGCCTCGCCGATTGAGGTTAAATTGTCCGACTTCCATTATCATCACATACCCGTATCATGTTTTTATTTACAAATGTGTGTTCCATCTCCCTCATGTCATAATGAGTAGGTGGCACTTCAGCACTGATGCCTTTGTGATTTAAACATGGACTAGACCACAGGGACTAGACGTCCCCAGAAGTTGTCTGTGGATGATGGCCGAGTTCAGTTTGGATCTGGAGGCAGCCAGTCGGGGAAGCCGTGTGAGGAAAAGGTCGTGGGCGAAGTCTGATGCCCGCGAGGAATGTCGAACTGTGGTGCACTCCGCAAATACGTCTGACCGACTGAACCAGAAACCGCCCGGATCACGGCACCACGTCCGCCCGCCAGGGCAAATCAGTGGTGATCCAGGCAGCCTGGGTGCCAGACCCATAACACTCGAGCCGATACCTTCAACTGTATACCCTTCGGGGGGAGAAAAATATGTCCCTAACTCGACTAAGCCTAGCGCCTGCGCCTTACAGTAGGTGTTGCTCAGGGTCTAACCCAGGACTGTGTTTGTCCTGGAGCCGAAGAGCTGCCTTGTATAGGCCCTGGGAATATAGTCTGGCATCCAGGCTTGTCTTTGCACTTTTCTTCTGCAGTTAATGGTTGGATGAAAGTTATCTAAAGCGGTGCCTAAGAACAATAGGGGTGTATTGATGGAGGTAGCCGGGTTTCCACGGGTAGACAATCAATCGAAAAATAGAAAGAATGATGAGTAGGACAAAGAGAAAATTATTGTAACACCTTCTGACACATAAGAAAGTATCAGCGTTGTTACATCTTAACCATGCAGTCTGGTTCATAATGCGTACAAAAACCTTATCACACACAACTGCCGGAAAGAATGTGGTGCTTGCAGTTCCGAGCCCTTTCTCTCCGGGTAATGTAATAAGGAAAATGAAACCTTTTTGAGATAACCTGCAATTAGATCCACTCTTTTCTGTCCTTGACAAGAATAAATGATGTGTAAAATAGGGCAGATGGGAAAATGGGTGGTTTAGAGTTTGGGAAAGTTCGGTGACCTGGCTCTACACGGGTGGCAGAGGACACCCTACGTTAAGCCGTTTTGAGCTCTAGCAGACTTGCACATGATTTATCCTAAGAATTCTGGTGTTTATTTGTTAAACACGGCTGCACACTTGGCCCACATCTGTCACCGCCTCTACATTCCGTGTTTTGACAGATGTCATGCAAACGTAGACTTAGAAAAGTAGCGTTTCGGGGGGGATTTGTTTGTAAGTGATCACAAGGAGGTCAGCTCTCCCCGAGGCACGGTTAAATAACGGGGATCGGTGGAAGATGTCAGACATGTAATCCGCCCCGACGGTTGGAATGTGCAGATACAAAGCCGAGAGTTTGATAAATGGGCCGAGGAAAGTCCCGGGGAGTGGGCAGCCAAATTGAGACTCCGGTTGAATTTACAAAATTCCTCTAAGTACAAAATGTAGGATCTGAGCCAAAGTAAAATCTTCTACATTCACCTTTACCTGTGAAAAATAGCTGTGAGGACTACGGTTCATGCCCACACTTCCGCGATATACATGTACAAAAACACATGTGCCCTTTTAAAAACATATAACTATCACGGGCAAAGGGGGTGCGGAGTTGTTTCAGGGTCGGATGAAGAGGTTACGCTAACATTATCAGATGTTTCTCATCAATTACATATTGATATTGCAATTCTTTCCTTTGGTTCTATATATCACTATATATATCAAGATGAGGTATACTATACGTTTAACCCCTGACATCCCAAGATATGGTATCTGTGCATGTATATTAGAGATAACAACTGTACTAATTCATCTCCGTTATCACCAAATCACCAAAACCAGTTAAGCCCTCGCACCTGTTCGTTTAAGGAACAACAACAATTCCTACTGATAGGTCTTGGGGATATTATGTCTTCTTCCGCTACCATATAAAAACAGGAAATCGACACCGATCGTTCTGCTTGGCAACCGGGTTGGTGGAATCTTTGGCGAGGGTCTCTTAGGCCTCACAAACTGTAACTTGGTGACAAAAGTTCTGCATCATGGAATGTTGACTTCAACTGATGCTTCCGTCCGATGTTCCGTTTCTAGAGTCTCAGTAATGTATGGATCGGACGAAATAGACCGCTACGTTGTTGCCATCTAACTATGAAAAAGGGTTCAAGACAGATCACAGCTAGGTCTCTCGCGGGTAGCCTTCTTCGTGTGGATTCTCTGTCGCTGTCGAAAATGTTTAACAGTCAAAAACGGTATACGGACGCAAATGTTAGCAGTCAAACCGGTGAAGTTTTTTTGTGAAAAAAGGTGGATGACACAAAATAGGAAGCCGTTAAAGTCAGATAGTGGACCGTTCTGACCATGCTGTTTCTGTGCACTAAAAGTCATTTAAGAAGAAGTGTTCTGAACAGATCTAGATTTCAAACTGTATAGATATTGAAGCAACTCCTACTGTGTTTTACATCACCCAAAATTAATCGAGAATCTGTTTGCGTATCCATATTGACATTTCACATTTTTGACAGGTCTCCTGTGAAATACAGCCATGATCACATGAGCACCAACTATCGATGACAAACAAACGTAACTCTACCCTCGAGAAATGAACGACTCTGGAGAATATGCTCAGTGGGTATGGTGAGTGTTTGGAAAGTAATCAAGCATGTTTGAGCCAGTTCCAAGTTCACGTTAATAGTGAGGTGAGGCATTTGACATGAGTTGTCGCTGATGTGTAATGAAGCGACTCTTGTTTGAACAGGGAGGTCGTGCCCTGTCTGCTACAACCGTCCGCCATCTTACAATCTATTGGTCATGAGTGACGAAGGTCATCGGCCCGGGTAGAGGTCACTTCATTGTGTAATCCGTCATGAAAGTGCTAGATGTTGTAGAGGACCTTAGCCATGGGTAAATTAGGGAGAACAAATGGACTATCAGATATACATCTAATAAAATACTAGTATATTTTTGTAATGGTTCGTGGTATTCTTCTTCGGACCTGAAAATGACTGGCATCAGATCGATTTCGGCCATGGAAATTGAGTTAAGTAAATTCTCAACCAGTAACGCAGGTCTCCAAATCTAATACAAATGCCATTTCAAAATGAAATACGAGCGTGTTAGGATTGAGGAGTGCACCAATGACCGTTATGTCTGCTGATTTACCTAAATGAAAGGTTGTCTACAGCGTTTGCAGGTGATCGGCATGGAAGTCCTTTCCGACATGCTTTGCGTGCAACCTCGTACCTGGAACTGCCTTGGCTGAGTGACAACAACACGCGATCTGTCCACACATCTACACGCCGACTTTTTCCGCCAATTAAAGAAATCATAGCCCCTGGGTATGTAGGCATTGTTTTCGGTTCGTTTGTGTGTGAGTGTATTTGCTTGTGTGCGTTCATAGATATTTGCGCTACAGTGGCAAAAAGGCGGGGGAGATTTGATAACCGCAGATTGACAGGCGTCCACCCACACAGTTGCTGCATGTCATTGAGGTACTAGTATCCACTTGGGACTTGTCACAACAAGTTACGTTCGTGCACGTCCGGCCTCTCCAAGGTCGCCAGGATATGGCTGTGATTGCGCCGATAGAATCACAAAAACTCTAGATACTTCCCGGAGGTTTGAAATCTCCGACTTTTTTTCGAAGATGGGGTGCGATAGACCTCTATGTGAAATAGCCAACAACATTCCG